ATACACAGGTTTCTTATGTGCAGACCAGGCTTTAGGAATGTCACAAATTCATCAATCACTGCTTGTCAGAGATAAGGTGGAAAGGGGTAACACTGGAGATGAGAGTGATATCTGTTCAATTTTGAATTCTCAAACAGTGTGTTCGTCCTAAAGTTGCTGATTTTTTCATTTGTTCACATAGTTAACTGATAATCTGCGTTCTACCGCTTGCCTGTTACATCTCCTGTCTCTTGTCACTGTCCTTTGTTTCACTATTGAAGTGTGTACAAATCTAGAAACCCAGATGACAGCCAGAGCCACTATTTTGTAAGTGACTATTAATATTTACTACTGGTTTATCTTTTATTAAAGCTTGCTGGTAATCTTTCACAGCTGTATAACCAAATCACCACACAGAGACTGTGTTTATTTAGTTAACCTAGAATACAATGCTTGACAACAATTACTATCTCCTAAACCTCCAAGCTCTCATCGTTTCCTAACATTTAGATTTCCCACATTATACTTGCTTTTTGTGATATCTTAGTTCCAGTCCATCTCTCCATGTAGTCCCATATCTCTCCTCCAGCTCTCTCTCCCAGCTCTCCTCCCCTTTTTTCCTCCCACTCATTTCCTGCCCTCTGGCTCCCCCTATCACTCAACATTGTGCTTAACAGATGTGCGCAACATTTGTCTAGTTCCTTTATTTTGGCCTCTTTACACAAAATTGAGAGAGTATGCTTAGAATAAGTATCACAATGCCTTATCAGGATTGAAAGGGGGGGAGAAATCAGCATTTGAATGAACAAGGGTAAGGTGTACACATTTCAAAAGAACATTATACCAACATTTCCCCCTTTAAGTCCAATAAAAGGATCCTTTTCTTTCAATACAATATTAATTATGAAAACTGTTAGGTAAAATCTACATGTGCAATGTCCAGTCCATGTGTATTTAGCAACTTAGGAGAAAGTATCTGATTATCCTATCTATCTTGACAAATTAAAAGTTCTATACCTAAATTAACTTTTATCCTTATTAGTATTACCTATAAGAAAGGATTTCTTAACTTCTAAACAACTCAAGCTTAATTGTGCCACTATAACTATTTGGTCTTCAACCCCATCAGAGACTTGAGAAGGAATAAAATTAGTTACTTGAGTAAATAGCAAGTGCATGCTAGCAGTTTCCAAAAAAATAAAAAATTGACAGAAACAGTTTGCTGCCTGAACAGTAGCCCATAACTCTCTATAAAGTTAGGAGCATCATCTTCAGCCTTCTGGCTCAGAATATTTGACAGACACATGTGTGAAACAGGAACTATTTAGGACTTGCTTACCCTGTCTTGGCAGAGTTCGGCAGTCAACTTGTCCTGCATTTAAGCTTGCCCATTTTGGGCAGAATTTGTCTGTTGTGAAGCAAGGGTATTTTCTTTACCTGAGTGGCTTGTTTGCCACATTTGAAGCCATCTCCATATGGAGGTTCTTCGATGCTCATTATCTTCTTTCAGGTAGGCGGGATGCTGCCAGGAAATGATTTGTCTCATTGTCAAAGAATCTTTAAAATAATAAAAACATTTTTAAATGCCATATTCTGTAGGTCTCTTAAGTTTTTGAAAACTACCTATCTTTATGTAATCGATCTGTTACAAAATCATATCTGTTAAACCTAGGATGTATACTCCTGTGATAAATTAGACTAGTGTCTGACATGACTATGAGGTTGAATAACTAGCAATTAACTTGCATTACCTAGTACCTTAACCAGTTTTTAATAGCTGTTTAAAAGTAATGGAAGTAACCTTGACTTTCTATCATTATACTAAAGCTTATACCAATGTATTAAAATATTGACTTCTTTTTGCATCAAAATGCAAAATCCTATACCAGAGTTAAAATTAACCTTACTTGGGAATAACAATAAACCCTAAGTTGAGTTGATTCAATAATCTACCTTTTTTTCTATTCCTATAAGATATTCCTGTATATTCCTTATTTCACTTTGAATAAGACCATTAATAATAAACATCTCCCAATGACAATAAAATTTCATAGCCATAGCAAACAACCAAAAATATACCCAACCAACCCTCTTTAAAGAAAATTGGACGCCATTCTCATGGATTTCTTCTAGCTGACATTTTGGACATGTAGAAATCCTGTAAGGGGGCTAATAAAATTTTGAAAAATGGTTAATTAAGCAAACAATAACATTTGTGGTCCAGTCTTTGAATGTTGAGAAATTTTAGGCTTAATAAAAGTCTTCTTTGGAACAGTCTAAAATGCTGGACCAATTAAGATTAGTAGCTTTCTTCAAAGTTCTTTTGGGAGCAGGCTTTGATGAGAAAATAGCAATTGAAGCAGTTGAGCATGAGTAAGCAAGATGCTGGAACATGCAAGATGCTGGAACAGATGTGTCAATGTCTCATCAAGCTAAAGAATGATTCCGTTAGTTTTGATCTAGCATCTCTGGTGTTCAGTTCTTTTGTTCTGCAAACATAATTTCTCACAAGCATTATAGAGTTCTAAAATTATAAATATATGAGATGTGCAGGATGAAACTAAACTGTAAGCCAATTTTATCTATGCAATTAAAAGATTAGCACAATACATTTTGAGGATGTTATGGCCAAGGATTTATTGGCCAAGTATTGTTGAAATTTTGGCTGGAGACACATTTTTATGTCTCAGTTAGTTTTAGAGTTGTTCTGATGTAAAGGGATTAGCAATAGAAGTTACCATTTTTATTGAACATACAATCATTATCATCAAAACAAGGTTGGATAGATTAAAATATCTTTTTGGACTCTTGTGTGCCTATTGTATTAGGCCAAGCTGCTACCTATTTCCCTAGAGAAGCCTTCCATTAAAGAGACAAGCTGGTTTCCTTGAGCAATAGAAAACACATGTTTTAAGTAAACTTTATATAAACTCCATTTTAATTTAGAATATAAGCATGTCGCAGGTATCTTGTACCTGTTTTGATGTTTAGCCCTAGATTTTTATATGTGTTGTAGTTATTTGTCCTATTCCCTTGTTTATCTAGAATGGGCAGTTATGCCTTTGTAGCCAAACTTAATAAACTCCCTCTTACCTTTAGCATTTAAGCATGTCCTAGGCAGCTTGTACCTGGTTTTACATTGGTTTTGGCTATTCTTTGGCTTACCCCCTTTTTTATATGGGAAGGACAGTTTTGTTTTTTAAACATATGAATATAATTTTTTAGTTTTTAGGACTAAACTAGGTTGGCATGTACTTTGCTATATTCAAGCCTCTTGTGTCTTTTTTACATAGGCATAACCAACATTATTCCCCTGTGAAAATATCTCACTTTTAAAAGGATAAGGCAGTTTCCAGAGCAGTGTGACATTATCTTTCTTTACATAAACCTAAAAATGATGTGAATCCCACATTTAGATCAGTAAGGACATGACATCTATTATTAAGAAAAAAGAATTTACATTGTAACCTTAAGGAAAATTTTGTCATTTTGAATCTTAGACTATCTCTGTAAGTGGCTAAACAGCAGGAGTTGCCATCCTGGCTTTTATTATGTAAATAAGCTTGATCCAGAACTCAGAGATCTGCCTGTTACTTTTTACTTTGTGTTGGGAAGAAAGGCATGTGCCTTCACCAACTTGTTTAAATATTTTTTCTCAAATTAACATCGATGTAACTCAAAGCCTTAAATGAAAATCAAACAAAGAGAAAAGAAAATTTTAAGTTTGGGGTCAGTTGTCCCAATTTATGCTGTAACAAACAAAGCCCAGTTGGTTATTTTTTGGAATTTAGTTGATGTTTCAGTGAATTGGCTGACCCTTACCAGAAGGAGCTGACAAGTATCTTGCAGCTAAAGAGCTTTGAATTTTAGCTGTTATTAATCTAACTATTAGGAAGAGTGCCCTTTTTCTTGTCTGTAACTTAGTATTCCAATCCTTGGCTTTTTCCCCATTTTCTTCTTCAACTTTCTTGGGGAAGGCATGGAGAAGAACCAACACCGTTAAATGTACTGCAACCAGATCCATAGATATGAGAGCCAAAATGAAGCCAAAAGGGATTAAAACGCCCTCTGCCATGGCAATTTTTTTATTTTTGATGCAGTTTAGGCCAAACTGTCTAGAGGTTTGTCTGCCTCCAGTTCCTTTCTTTCCTGCCATGGCTGTGGAGCTGAGCCACTTGAGCCAACCACAGTATAAAGGAGCCCTGCTTGTTTACCCCTCAGTTAAACTGCAGCAGCAGCAGCAGCCAGTTTTAAGGAAGTCTCAGGTCTGCCCACAGGAGGCTGTCTTTTGCTCCTGGGCAGGTTTAAGAATCTCTCTTAAAGAGACAGTAATTGACCTGGGAGTTTTTAGGTTTGAAGTTTGGATTTTATCACTGGGAGTTTATTCCCCCCACCGAATTATGATAAAGTAAGATTTAAGGGGTGTGGATACTTAGATTAGTTGGGCGCCATTTGTTGTAAGTGAATATTAATATTTACTACTGGTTTATCTTCTATTAAAGCTTGCTGGTAATCTTAAACAGCTGTAGAACCAAATCACCGCACAGAGACTGTGTTTATTTAGTTAACCTAGAACACAATGCTTGGCAATAACAGGGCTTGGAGGTTTAGGAGGTAGTAACTATTGCCCAGCATTGTGACTATTGCCCAGCATTGTGTTCTAGGTTAACTAAATAACCCCAGTTTCTGTGTGGTGATTTGGTTATACAGCTGCTTAGGATTAACAGCAGCATTACCAGAAGATAGTTATTAGTAAATATTAATCATCACTTATAACACTACGGCATCAGAATCTGTATTTCAGTTCACTTCTCAATTATGATTAGGCACATTAGTTTGGACAGGTAACTTGTCCCTCATGATGACTTTGTCCTGTAAGAAATGTACATGTGCTTGGAGTGTAATACAAGCATATAGCATTAAATGTGTATTCCTCTGTGGATGTGTTCATTTTACATTTCATCTGTCTCAATGTATAGTGTCCACATGGTGGTATAGGAACTTTTTCCTTGTCTTCCTTGAAGATGGGTCCAGTGTGAGATTGTGTGAGCTCCTATGATGTGTCTGAGGAATATTACTCACTGTTATCAGAAACACTTCTAGTTCTCTTTCGTGCTGGGAAAATCTAGATTTGTGTCCACAAGCAAATGACGCCCGGGTTAGGGTTCCTACTATTGTGATGAAGACCGTGAGGAAAGGCAACTTGGAGGAGAAAGGGTTCATTTCAGCTGGCAACTTGAGGTAACAGTTCATCCCTGAGGGAGTCAAGGCAGGAACATGGAGGCAGGAACTGGAGCCAGGCCACAGGGGAACTGTGCTTACTGGCTTGCTTTCTATGGCTTGCTCAGCCTGCTATCCTACACCATATAGAACTACCTGTCTAGGGCCAGCACCACCCATATTGGACTGTGGTATCTCATGTCCATCACTAATTAAGAAAATTGTGCTCCTCTCCTGTCAAAAGACTGTGACTAGTGTCAAGTTGACAGAAGAGCTATCCAACCCAATGCATCTGGGGATTTATATGATTATTAGTGGATTTGATTAAGTAAAAGTGTGATTTCATTCATTGTTCTTTATTTCAGGAAGTGCTGTCCTTCTGGGATGTGGCCATTGATTTCTCTCCAGAAGAGTGGGAATGCCTGGAGCCTGCTCAGTGGAATTTGTACAGGGACGTGATGTTGGAGAATTACAGCAACCTTGTGTTCCTTGGTGAGGATTGCATTTATAGTGAACTTGTAGCTCACCATCAGCATGTAGCTTCCCCACTTTGCGCAGTATCTCATAGGAGAATCTGCATTTCAACAGTTTCATATTCATTGTTGAGAAATGAGGCCGGTTACTCTATAGCTAAGAACCACTTCATCATTTTTCTCTGTGTGTTTCTGTATTGGAAGCATACATCCTTCACTGTTAGAAATTCAATTGCGTGAAACATGGGGCACACTTGTAAAGAGTTTCCCATTTCAGTGTTAATGATTTTGCCTTTAAATGAAGCTCAGAATCTGGACATTGAACATTCCTTAATGTATTGTAGTATACCTGTCAAAAACTAATTGGAACTAATTGTCTGCAGTCACTTCTTGCCTGTTCTCTTCCCTTATAAACACTGTACTGGAAGGGACATGTCAGTTCCTTCTAAATAAACAACCTGTTCCCTTTTTTTCTACAAACAGGTCTTGCTGTGTCTAAGCCACAGCTGGTGACATTTCTGGAGCAAAGACAAGGGCCTATTGGCGTGAAGAGACAAGCAGCAAGCCCGGTGCCCTCAGGTGGGTAGGAAAGAGGAGGTCGCGAGCAGAATTGAGGTGCAAAGATCCAACAAAAAGCCAGGCTTTCGCATGTGCCTTGTAACATGAGGTTGTGGAGAGAATTCTTTAGGCCTCTAATTCTTGTCCTTGTGGTAAAAGAAGCACATCTCTCAGATGTGTATAAAGGTTTAAGTTTTTTAAGCTTTGTGTTTCCCGAAAGCAAGCTGTTCTTGTATTGGCAGTGGCTTCATCTCTATTCACTTTCTTGAGTCTCCATTGCGATGCAAGACTCAGAGAAATGCCACTCAGAGGAAGTTAGACTAAGAGTCATTTGTTTGCTTGCATTGAGAGCAGGTTCATGCCAGAAAGCTCTCTATAGAGTGGGAGCCTGACTGGGTTTACAAAGGGAAAGCCACAATTCCATCACCCATATGCAGACAGGAACAGAAGGCTCGGCATTTTCAGTAGAATTGAAATTTCAGGGACCTTGCCTATATTTTTTCTTTTTAAAGGAATATTAACATTTAAAAAGACCAGTTGTTATTATTTTTATCAGGCACAGCTACAATTTTGTTTGTTGTTGTAAGTGGTGATTAATATTTACTAATAATTATCTTTTAGTAATGCTGCTGTTAGTCCTAAACAGCTGTATATCCAAACCACCACACAGAGACTGGGTTTATTTAGTTAACCTAGAACACAATGCTGGGCAATAGCTACTTCATCCTAAACTTCCAAGCCCTAATAGTTTCCTAACATTTAGATTTTCCACATTACACTTGCTTTTTGTGAAATCTTAGGTCTGGTTCATGTTCCATGTCCTCCAAGATCTCTCCAAGCTCTTCTCTCACCCCTCCTCCTCCCACTCATTTCCTGCCCTCTGGCTCCTCCCAGCTCAGCATTTTGTCTAGTTGCTTTATTTGGAAGTTTACACCAAGTTGAGACAGGATGCTTAGGATTAAAACCAGAGGGGGGGGGGAGAAATCAGCATTTGAATGAACAAGGGTAAGGTGTACATATTTTAAAAGAACATTATACCAACAGTTTGTTAAGACAGGTTTTCTTAGAGTCCTGGCAGTCTTAGAACTCCATTTATAGACCAGGCTATCCTTGAACTCACAGAGATGGAGCCTGCCTCTACTGCCCCAATGCTGGATGAAAGGTTTATGCCACCTCGCCCAGCTACATTTAGGGTTTTGAAGGTGGTTCAATTTAAAAGGTACTGTGTGACATCATTTAAATAAAATGAGGTTAGCTTGGTGTTGTGGTTCACCCTTTAATCTCAAAACTTGGGGAAATAGAGTCAGGGGTTTCTCTGAGTTCAAGGCCAGCCTGATCTACAAAGTGAGTTCAGGATAGCTATAGCTACACAGAGAAACTGTGTCTCAAAAAGTCAAAGAAAGGTTCAAATATAGAAATACATGATAGAAGATTAAATCCAAGCTACACAGTAACTAGGAGAATGTGCTCAACAGCTCATCAATAAGCTTTCAGAATTGTGTGGACTGAAGAATTTTTCTTCCTACTTTGCAATTTGATACTCTGTGTTGTTACTTGGAAGTATGCATTATCTACAATCATTTCTGATAACTACCTTAGATAGGTCTGTGAATGGATAAAGCACATTGATAAAACACATGAGGACAGATAAAAATATGCTCTGCTTCTGTGAATTTCTACTTCAATGGTAAACCAAGTCTCCAGTTTTTCTGCTTTATTCATTTTCTCTCTCCATTCAGTACTCAGTGGTTCTTCAATCTTATAAACGAATAGAACTTAGAAATATTTCATTTTATCCCCTGGGTGTGGCAGCCTACTCCATTAATCCCAGCACTTGGGAGGCAGAAGATCTCTGAGTTTGAGATCAGTCTTTTCTACATAGCAAATTCCAGGATAGTTCAGACAGACAGAGAAACTTTGTCTCAAAGACAAAGAAGACAAAGAACTAGGTAATTTTGTCATCTATTCATTGACCAATACATTTCCTATGCAAAATTTCTGTTATTCACATGTGAAACTCAAGACTCTTATCATGACTTGATATCATTCAGATAAATATTTCCTTGTCATCAAAAGAAAACAAAACACAGTCTTAAATTCTAGATATATTCTTTAACCTTGTTGTGGACAGTCTACTTGTTATGTAACATATCTTTAACCTTCAAAGGTAAAGGTCAGTACTTAGTATCAAAGTTGTTTATTTTGATATTCATCCAGTCTACACAATTACAATTAACTTTCTCTTTCCCAGGCTTGGCTACTACATAATTTCATGGATGGCTGGCCATATAACATCTATATGGCTTGATGTCCTTATTTCTGTTAGTACAATGCCCTGTCACCTTGCTTAGCTCCTTAACTTTGCATAATATGCCATCATGTCAGTGTTCTGCTTGGTTGTGCTCCTAGTCCAGTAGAAGGATTGATTGTTTCTGCCTGCTCTATTTTGTGAATTATGCTCAGGGCATGGAGGTATTGAAATGTACTGAACACTGTTATTCATGGTTAAATACATATCAGTTAATGCCCTTATTTTTAAAATGAGTACTATAAGTATAAAGGTTTTGTTATATCTCAACTTTTGTTCAACAGGAACAATAAGAAACAAGTTTAACACTCACAGCAAGATCATTGATCATAGCTCAGTAGGTATTCAAGTCCAGAGGATTCGTAAAGGGGAGAAACCCTACAAGTGTGAAGAATGTGGAAAGGCCCTCAGTTCTCGTAAAACACTTTCTATACACCAGAGACGTCATACTGGAGAAAAACCCTACCAGTGTAAAGAATGTCATAAGGCCTTTAGTAGTCGCTCATCACTTTTTATACATCAGAAAAATCATACTGATGAAAAAACCTACAAGTGTGAGGAATGTGGCAAATTATTTTACTATCCTTCAATGTTGAAGCAACATCAAAGAATTCATTCTGAAGACAAACCCTACAAGTGTGAAGAATGTGGCAAAGCTTTTTATGACCCCTCATTCCTTAAGCAACATAAAAGAGTTCATTGTGGAGAGAAACCACACAAGTGTGAAGAATGTGGCAAAGCTTTTTATGACCCTTCATTCCTCAAGCAGCATCAAAAAGTTCATTGTAGAAAGAAACCACACAAGTGTGAAGAATGTGGCAAACCATTTCCCTCTGCTTTACTTCTTAACCAACATAAAGAAACTCATTCTGGACAGAAAAACTTCAAGTGTAAAAAATGTGGCATATCCTTTTACTATCGTTCAATGCTGAAGCGACATCAAAGAATTCAATCTGGAGAGAATCCTTACAAGTGTGAAAAATGTGGCAAAAGATTTTTCTGTTCTCCACACCTTCAGAAACATCAAACAATTTACAATGGAGAGAAACAAGATGAGTGTGAAGATTGTCATAAAACCTGTTGTCATTATGCAGCTTTTAAGAGACACAAGATAGCTCATACTGGAGAAAAACCCTACAAGTGTGAAAACTGTGGCAAAGGTTTTTCCTCATCTTCATCCCTTCGAAGGCATCAAAAAAAATTTCACTGAAAAAAATTTCTACATAGGTGAGGAATGGGGAAAGGCCTTTGTTACTTTTTATTTTCCTGAATACTAGGTAGTCCATACTGGGGAGAAACCTGACAACAGTCTTAAAAAGTTACAATTCCTCAGCCCTCAGAAGATATCAAATGAGTCATTCTGAATGCAAACTCCGTGAGTGTGTGCAGTGTGGCAAAATCTTTGCTAGCAATTTAGTTCTTAATTAACTCAAATGAATCCATACTACAGACTGTTAAGTTAATTATTTTGGAATGTCAACACAAACATCTAATTTCTATCAGCACAAATCCTAAGAATGTTATCAGAGAACATTAGCGAATTCTCTTTATTGTAACCTCCCCACCAGTATGTTCAACCAGTGTGTTAAAAATCTGGCATTAATTGATGAGTTTCTTTTCTCTGTAACTATAAATGTTCAAGAAACTGTTACCGTGTCATAACTTGGCCCGTTGGGTGCTCTGACTCTGAGGTCTGGGCTTACAGACTTATTGTTCTTTTTCCCGTTGGAACATCCAAGCTCCTGTGTGTGAAAGAAGCTCCAAAACCTTACATTCTTTACCCGGTTGGCTTTGGTGAAATGGTCTACACTGTCTCTAACCTGGGTGAGTGGGCATTAGTGTTTGTCTCCCCAGGAAAAGCTAACAGAACACATTGTCAGTCATATTTAGTTTAGAATGAAGAATTTCTTATTTCCTTTAAGTTCAGACCAGTGTTTCTCTGATGAAACACTAAAAGTTGCCAGCATATTAAAAAAGAGACCCAAGCCAAATGCACTCACTCCAGCAGAGTAATGTATTTGATTAGTGGATACAGATTGTCAAGAGGTGCAATTCTTAGTTTACTGTTGATACTGATCCTAAAAAGCCATCACAGACTTGAGTTTAGTAATTTAATGTAGACTGTGAAAAGGTCAATATATATATATATATATATGTGTGTGTGTGTGTGTGTATATACTACATAAAACATATGTATATATACGTATGATGGTTGAATTTCTCACATCTCACACGACAGTGGGAGGGATTCATCAGGCCAGTGGGGGAATCCCTACCCACATTCTAAATTTCTCAAGCCTCAGAGAGAGAAATACCAATTACTCTGCCTTCTGTGTCTCCCTTTGTGACCTATTAGGATGCTGTGAATAGGGGACCCAGTATCTAACTAACCTGCCACCTGACTGGTATTGAATTTACACCATAGTTCAATTGGCCACGTCCTTTCCCTGACTTTCAAATGTTATCCCCAGCAAAGCTGGGTTCAGGATGACCAGTCAAGGCCTGATTCCCAAGAAAACTTTTAAATAACAGGACAGAGTCGTCCAAGAGGTCAGTCAGCACAGCAGGCTGAACTGTGCACTCTAAACACCAAGCTGCAGGAGCCACTCTGTGGTTCCACCATGTACAGCCTGAGGAGGAGAACCTGAAGTGTCCAGCCAGACCAGCCTCTCAGTCACCTTCCAGAGAAGGTGGAACCTCTCTTAGCCCAGCTCCCTTTGCCAGCCTGGAGCCAACGTGCACATGGCAGCAGCTTGAGGCAATCAAAAGGAAGACAGGGGACACTCTTCCCCTTCTTTGGTTGGACTCAGGCAGTATTGGGGAAAATGCTCCCTATACAGCTCATCACAACAGTTCCTTAGGACTGGTCTCTGAATTGAACTTTTACTAACTCTGCCACATCTGGTCTAATGGTCAGGCCCTGCTTAATTAACTGGTGGTTCAACTCAGTTGACAGATCACCTCAGAATAAATGGTTCCATGGGCCAGTTCTTCCTCTTTCATCAAGTCAAAATTTGATAGATATTAAGTAAAAGAAGTGGGGAATGAAGTGACTTAGCCAAGGTCAGGTTATCCTGATACGATACTCATCCCCTTCTCAAGCCTCTTCAGGCAATAAACCTTATATCCTGACTTCTGAAAAAGAGTTCCTCCCTTCCTCCTGGGGGAGGATCTAGACCCATAATAAAGAAACAACAAAATACAAACCGTAACTCCGCAGTGTGCATCATGTGTGGCTTTTTGACTTTGCAAACTCTACCTTCCCTTGCTTCCTAAGAGCCCTAGTGAGGAAGCAGCCCAAGCTTGGTCAGCTTCTCTTAATTGATGCAATAATCATGGTGACTTGTCCCTTTCCTCATGGGTTACTTCATTCACAGATCCTGAAGGGCATCTCTCTCTACTGGAGGGCATTCACTGTTGTGGGACATTCTACATATGGTACCATGGGAGTGAAGTGATAAACACTCACAGTAGATCAAAATGTAGAGAATAGTAGCCTGTGGAGGCACTGGTCTAAATGAACACCTGGGTGGCAACTCTTAGCCTCAGGGATCACAGGAGACAATGTAGAAAGGTTGCAGTAGCCAGATGAGGTGGATGTCTGCTGAAGCACTATTTGCTGGAAATGTCAGGACTGTTGCATGCATGACCACACTGTGACTGCCAACTATTCGGGAAATACTTGCACAAGCAAAAACCAGCATTCAACATGCCTGATTGTGTGAGGGTCTCATTATGTCTAACCTTCAGTGGAGCAGGTATTGTCAACTGATGGCTTTTGGGGAAGACAGACAGTTGGAGAGGCTTTCCCGTTCCGGCCACTTGTTCTAAACATAGAGGAGGCAGTGAGTGCACTTGGTGTCATAAAAAGAGAAGAAAACACCCACAAAATTGGAAGGGAAGAGTGGTGCTAAGGGTGTGTAGTAATTGAGGTAAAAAATGGGGAGAGAGTTGAGTAAAACACAATTCAGATACTAAACTGTATTAGACTCCAAAAATATCGATTGAAATATATTGTTGGTCTTGGACATATCCAAACTTGACCTGCAGTCAGTGATTCCTGCACTCTGGCTGTCATAGAGTTTATAGAGGGCCAGCATCATTCCTGGAAGTCTTCATGAGGGAGCAAGAGAAGATTCCCAGACAGCTCAGATGCTGAGGACTAAGGAGCCCTGCATCAGTGGGACATCAAGGAAGAGAAATAACATTGTTCCCCAGAGATGAGCTGCAGTCAGCCTCACCGTGTATCTTCCTCTTGGCTTTGCCATCAGTACAACAGAGGAAGGATGAGCAGTGGCCTCCTCATCCTCCCTGGCCTCCCTCCTATATCTGATACACTTGTCACAGCTGCTTTGGTTCCTTGTTATCCATCATTAAAGTCAGGCAAGGAGTCTACCAGTCAAATGAACTTGGTGAGTAAGGAGTTACAAAGATAACATGTCACATAGCTTCTATAGTCGGTTTACTAAAAAAGTTTATTAACATGGAAATCTCGTTAACGATAGCATGAAGAAATGAATAAATTTCTAGAGTAGATTGCAAAGAAAGAGTCTGAGAGTGTGGCTTAAATCCCATAGTTATCAATAACAAAGGCTGGTGTGTAGAAAGGTTCTTTTTAAACAAAATGGCTAGTGTGTGGCCATCACAGCACCTTGAAGAAAGACCAGGATTGCTCTGTATTTGAGCCAGTGTTTTATTCCTGGTACAGAAAGGCATGTTTCCTTACAAGTCGAAATATCCTATATAGATTTTTTTTTTTTTCTCTGTGGAACAATTGACCTGAGGTATTGACTGAATAGTATATCTGAGACATGTCCTGTCAGGAGCAAACCGAACAGTAGAGACACACAATTTTAAGTGGGATTTCTCAGTTCTTTCTTGTTCTTTTTTTTTTTTTTTTTTTTTTTTTTTTCTGTTTTTGGAGACAGAGTTTTTCTGTGTAAACCTGGCTGCCCTGGAACTCACTGTGTAGACCAGGCTGGCCTCAAAGCCAGAGACTTGCCTTGCTCTGCCTCCCACGTCCTGGGATTGGTATATGGCTCTAATGCTTGGCTAATTTTTTTTTTCTTTTAAACCCTAGTGTTTAAAAGTTTCAACACACAAACATGTCAAAGTTAACAAGAACCCCCAAACTATGTAAGTCATGAATGTCTGTGCAGTTAGAATGGACATTTCTAAATGAGGCTGAGGAGTTCACATTGGATTTTGTTGAAAACTGGTAGCTTCAGTCTCCTGGTAAAGAAAGACCTAAGCCCACGATGTCCTTTAGAGCATAAAATTAAAGATGCCAAGATCTTTCATAATTATCAAAGCTTAAACATTCTCTAGACAGGCTTTCAACAAGCTCATCTAAGTTAACCTGTCCACCTTCCCTGATCCAGCCATAAGACCAGGCCCCTAATCATGTCTTGTCTGTCTCCTTTCATATCTTCTGGTGAAAGACCTTCCTCCCTCTCCTTCCCAGAATTCTTTTCTCTCTCTCTCTCTCTCTCTCTCTCTCTCGAAGCACCACAGTCTACTTTTCTCCTCTCTCTCTCTCTGCCCAGCTAATTGGCCAATCAGATTTTTATTGACAGCTGTTACATCCATACAATACAGAAGATATTTCTCTACAACTCCCCTTTTTAGTCCAATAAAAAGCCTCATATATGTGTGTGGATATGTTACATCCATACAACACAGAAGATATTTCTCTACAGCTCCCCTTTTTAGTCCAATAAAAAGCCTCATATATGTGTGTGGAGATATATATATATATATATATATATATATATATATATATATATATATATAAATGTAATAAACTATATATAGTAAGAATAATTATGAAACAATCAGGAAACCATATAACAGTTACATTCATAGTGTTTAGCTTATTTGTATTTGGCAACCTTGAAGAAAAATTTATCCTTTTTAATGAGTCTAGTTCTGAACCTAAATCCATCTCTATCATATCTTGTATCTATCAACCTAAAAACATCAATTTGACCTTAAAAAAATCTGAACTCCTAAGCAACTAAGTTTAAATGTAAAACTATAACTATCTGGTCTTCAACCCCATCAAAGACTTGAGAATCAATAAAATTAATGCCTGAGTAGGCAAAAGTGCAGGCAAGCAGCTTCCAAAATAAATAAAAATGACAGACAGTTCCCTGCCTGGTAATTTTGTCTTTTTTTTATTTCCCCAGAGCTGAGGACTGAACCCAGAGCCTTGAGCTTACAAGCGCTCTACCAATGAGCTAAATCCTCAACCCCTGTTCACTGCCTGGTTATTCACCCAATATCTCTCTATAATGTTGGAGCATCATCTTCAGCCTCCTGGCCCAGTAAACCTGCCAGACTTAGCAATATGAAGGAATTGGTTACCTTATCTTGGTAGAGGTTGGCAGTCAACTTCCCTGCCTCTGTCCAAGTGTTGCCCATTTCAGACAGCATCTTCTTTGAGGTATGCCGGGGTTGCTGCTGGGAGCTGACATGTCTTGTCAAACAATCTTTAAAATAATAAAAACATCTTTAAATGCCATATTCTGTAGGTCTCTGAGGTTTTTGAAGGCAATCTACCTATCTATTTATACTTGTAAGAGTTTAAATATACCTTTGTCAATAGTAAATCTGAACAGGCAAGTGTTGCTTGTTTTAGATATTTACT